TTCACACAACGAGATTCTCGACCCTTACAACCTTCCACAACATGCCTCACAAATTATAGTAACAGAGTAACAAAGTTTGAGGCTAAGGATTATAGCCAGGTGTGGTGGCGCACACCTGTAATCCCAGCACTGAGGAAACTGAGGCAGGAGGATCATTGCGAGTTGAGGCCAACCTGGGGCTACAAAGTGAGCTCAAGGCCAGCCTGAACTGCATAGCGAGACCCTGTCTCAAAAAGACCAAAAAAAAAAAGGGGTATGGTCTTGTAGGATTGAGGCAATATCTAAAACAGCTTTTTGGGGGGTGGGGGAGATAGGGTCTCACTACGTAGTTCAGGCTGGCTCTGAACTCACAGTGATCCTCCTCCCTCAGCCTCTTGAATGCTGGGAATACAGGTATACACCACCATGCCTGGCTCAGCTTTTGGTATTTGAATGTTGGGAAACAGGGAGAGGAAATGCAATTCATCAACGCAGACAAAAAGTGGAGTGCGGTGGCACACACCTATAATCATAACATCTAGAAGGCTGAGGCAGGAGGGTTACAAAATCATGCCACAGCTTGGGTAACTGAGAGGTAATGGTATATTTATTTATTAATTTATTATTTATTTGTTATCTTTTTGAGACAGGGTCTCGCTATGCAGTTCAGGCTGCCCTTGAGCTCACTTTGTAGCCCAGGCTGGTCTCAAATTTGCAGTGATCCTCCTGCCTCAGCCTCCCGAGTGCTGGGACTACAGGTGTGAGTCACCGCACCTGGCTAATGGTTTATTTACTTGGAAAATCCCAAAGGGTGGCACCAGTAATCCCAAATCTCCCCTTACCCCTTAGGGAAGTATGCAAATCTGGCCAGTGTGATTTTAATCTTCTTCAGCTGCACCTCCAGTCAGGGTTGATGTGTTCTCTTCTGCACTGACTGCCTCAAGGGCCAGCCCTGTCTGACTGCCTGCTGAGGGCCACCAAACTGAGCTGCCCAGAATAATTTTGCTTACTTTGCGGCTGGCGGGCCAAGGTATTTTGTAGCTTTGCACCTAGGCACGGATGCTCCCAGATTACAGATGATCAGCCCAATTTTGATCAGTTTCTGGCTCTGCCTAGGGGAAGTGACACTGGCGATCTGCCCAGGCTCACAGCATCCGAGCCGACTTCCTTTTTGACACAGCAGGGACCCTGTAGTAATCCTCCTCTGACTCCTGAGCAGACTCATGGCTGTGGCTGCGGCAGCTAAAGGAAAGAAGAAAGCTCTAAGTGGCTGGGGATATAGCTCAGTGCAAAGGCCCTGGGGTCAATCTCCAGTACTAGGGGAAACCCCAAAAGCTTATATACCCCAAAAGCTTATATACTCTTATCTAATCTTTTGAGAGAGATCTCAGCCTGAAGCCTGGCTAACAAGGTTCCTGGCCTAGGAAGCTGAATTGAATTTCTTTAGGTGAAGACAGTGGAAAGCTCCACCCAGGAAAAACAAGCTCTCCTGAGACTGAGCTCTTCCTTCCTGAATCCCTTTGCTGGTGACCTTCAGGGCTGCTGCCTTGAAAAAGGTCTCTTGCTTTTCAGGACTGGTGCAAAGACAAGTACTTTTTTCAGAATCAGTCCTTTTTGGACCTACTGGAGACAGGCGCGAATCAGTACAAGTTCAGACACAGATCCAAGGGCCATCAGGAAGTTCCTCTGGAGCAGAGCCGCAGGTTCGGGTCAGTCAGCCTTGTCGTGAGGTAAACCTCACTGGGCCACAGAGGAGCAGGGTGCACACCAAGCTTGCTGACAGCAACACGCTCTCGCTGGGGTCCATTCCTACCTGGCGACCTTTTTGTGCACCAAACACAGTACACTCCAGGAGCTGCTCCATGTGAGGTGTACGAATCTATTCTACCCCAAACAGCCCAACAGTTACTACTGTTATTCCCGTTTTACTGATGAGAGAACTACACAAAGATTGATTTCCCACCAAAGTTGTATCTGAGTGACCCCATACCTGTAATCCCTGCACTCAGGAGGCTGAGGCAGGAGCATCGCCATGAGTTTGAGGCCAGCCTGAACTGCACAGCGAGATCTGTTGTAACCAGGAGAGGGACCCCGGACCCAAAATTGCGCAAAAATGAATGAGAGGTCTCTTTAAGAAAAAGAAGCGCTTTATTTTAGCTGGTACCCAGCGGCACAGAGTACAGATGGATTTTGTACTGCTGCGCGCGGCGGCGAAGTAGCAAGGGGTTTATTTTGTTTTGTTTTTCTTCGGTACCGGGAATCGAACTCATGACCTTGCGCATGCCAGGCAGGCGCTTTTGCCGCTGAGCTAAATCCCCAGCCCCTTAGCAAGCGGTTTATAAAGGAAAAAACCGCAAAGGATGGAGAGGGGGAGCATGGAACAAACAGTACCCAGATCCTGTTTTTGCAGGATGTTATGTACATCTGGTGGTCTTGTTTTTGCAGGATGTTATGTACATCTGGTGGTCTTGTTTTTGCAGGATGTTATGTACATCTGGTGGTCTTGTTTTCGGAACTAATGTTTTTGCAAGAACATTGAGTTGATGAGTTGGCTCTTGCGCTTTTGCATTGTCTGGGAACCCCAGCAGGGGATTTTTATGGGTACAATAGGTGACTTGAGAGTAAAGGGAAATGGCGCATACAGAACAGAATGGCGGCGCTTTGGTCAAGGTGCAACATGATCTGTCTCAAAAAACAGAAAAGTCTAGTGCGCCCCAGCCAGGATCTGAAGGCAAAGGCAAAGGCACCCCGCCCTGGCATATGGCAAGGATCAGCCACTCCGGCCTTTCCGGCTCCTACTTCCTATAAAGCCCCTAGGTCTAATGTGTTTCCACGACTCCTGGGCATTAACAGCGGGTTGTAATGGGTGGACATTAAGCGCTGGTTCTCCCCGCCGCAGTAACCTGGGGCCGGAAGCAGTGGCGAAGAACAGGGGTCAATCGCGCCAAGAGGCAATGACCTTATAGCTGCCCGAGCAGGGGGAACCTAGGGCAGCAACCCCCACCCAAGAAGCTGATTGGTAACACCCAACAGCAGACGGCCGCGGCCCGGCCCGCGTCGGGCGCAGGATAAGAGGGTGGGCAGCAGCACCACGCCAGGTAAAGGGGGCGCTGCACAGCTCACTGCCCACCAGACCCCGCCGCCCTTCCCCCACGGGCGCCGGGCCGCGGCGCCAGCCTCAGGGGGCGCAGGAG